TCAGAACTCACCAAAACTGTGGGTGAGTAAACAGCAATTCAGGAGCAGGATGTAAATTATCACAGTAGACAAAAGATTCTGATGACAGCAGCTTCTTCCAAAATCTGGGGAAACAAAATATAACAAAATAGAATTTAGTATCTTTCTGAGAATTGTTATATGACCTTAATGATTTAAACCCATAATAAGATAGAAGCAGTAAGAAGAATTATTCTGCCACTTGTCAAATATATTGTACTAAAAGTCTGTATCCCCCCAAAATGTCACAGCATTAGATCTTGTTTGTGATGCAAAGCCACCAAATGGTTTGTATTGGGGCAGATGTTTTAGCATCTGATGTTGAAAGTTTGAATTCTATGTCTAAATGTATTTTGACTTCTTTTGAAAAGTTTCTGTTCATTTCCTTTGCCCATTTATTGATGGGGTTGTTTGATTTTTTTCTTGTTGATTTTTTAAAGCTCTAGATAGATTCTTGTTATCAGCCCTTTATTGGATGTGTAGAGAGAAAATATTTTCTCCCATTCTGTAGGCTATCTATTTGCTCTAATGATAGTTTCCTTGGCTGTGCAAAAGCTTTTTAATTTGATCAGATCCCATTTATTTATTTTTGTTGCTGCAGCGATTGCTTTGGGGGTCTTCTTCAAGAATTCCTTGCCTAGGCCGATGTCTGAAAGGGTCTTCCCAACATCTTCTTCTAGAATTCTTGAGGTTTCATGACTTAGGTTTAAGTCTGTTATGCATCTTGAATTGATTTTTGTGAGAGGTGAGAGGTGGGAGTCTAGTTTCAGTCTTCTGCATATAGCTATCCAGTTTTCTCAGCACCATTTATTGAAAAGAGATTCTTTTCCCCAGTGTATATTTTTGTCTGTTTTGTCAAAGATTAGATTATCATATGTGAATGGTTTCATCTCTGGATTCTCAGTCCTGTTCCAAAGGTCTATGTCTCTGTTCTTGTGCCAATACCATGTTGTTTTAATTACTATAGACTTGTAGTACAGAATAATGGCCAGCAAACATATAAAAATATGCTCAACATCTCTAACCATTAGAGAAATGCAAATAAAACCCACAATGAGATATCACCTAACCCCAATGAGATTGGCCTCTATCAAAAAATCCCAAAACAACAAATGCTGGCAACGATGTGCAGAGACAGGAACATTCTTACACTGCTGGTGGGACTGCAAATTAGTTCAACCTCTGTGGAAAAGAATTTGGAGATACCACAAAGAGCTAAAAATAGAAATACCATTTAATCCAGCAATAACACTATTAGGCATCTACCCAAAAGAGCAAAAGGTATTCTATAATAAAGACATCTGCACCCAAATGTTTATGGCAGCACAATTCACTATTGCAAGGACGTGGAAACAACCCAAGTGCTTGTCAATCCATGAGTGGATTATTAAAATTTGGTATATGTATACAATGGAATATTACTCAATTATAAGAAACGACAGTGATCTAGCACCTCTTATATTTTCCTGGATATAGCTTGAGCCCATTATCCGAAGTGAGGTATCACAAGATTGGAGGAATGGGCTCCACATGTACTCGCCATCAAATTAGCACTGACTGATCAACACTATGGTGCTCACATGGTAGTAATATTCTCCAGAACTTAGGAGTTTGGGGGGGTAAACTCACAACTAATGGACATGGCGAGCATTGTAGAGGGGAAGGGCATGCCTCTAATCCTCGCTGGGGTGAGGCAAAGATGTAAAATGTAACCAAAATGTTTGTACCCTCATAATATCCTGAAATAAAAAAAAATTATAAAGCTGAAAAAAAATGTATTTTGAAACTGTTTAGGATGGTTTGATTAGCATTTTGGGGCTAGTTTTTTTTTTTACTTCTCAACTCTTTGATCCATCTTCTCTCCAGTTTTATTACTATGTTCTTCCTCCTAACATTATCACCCCACTTTGTTCATTCTTTTACTCATTTATTGAGTATGAGATATGTACCAGATCTAGTGCTTTGTTATAGGAATAGAGGAATGAATAAATGCTCTTCTTTGCATTCTACCAAGTGATTTGTGACTGGAATGTACAAGCTAATCAAATTAGTAGTTAGCTGCAATAACTGCTGATTCAGCTCATGATATTTACCAAAGCTACCTACTTTTTTCAGTCTCACCATTTTACCTACAGGATCTTGCCACCTTTCCCCCTTCTCCCTGACTTCCCAGTCTATTTTCAGTTCTGCAGCTAGTCAAGCTTATGCTTTCTATACCTGGGAGAGAAGAATGAGTTGAGATGGAGACAAAGTAGAAGCAAAAGAGTTAAGAATATATTCTGAGAGTAATTTGGGGACTTTAAAGAATTTAATCATAACATGATAAATACAATGTACATTTTAGAAAGTTTATTTTAAAGGCAGATGGGAAAATTAATCTATAGTGATTTACAGGGATAAATGTAGAAGGAAGATTTTAAAATAATATTTGTCATCATGTTTACTTGAAGGATATGGAAAATCTGTAATTGATAGAGAACTATCTTATTTATTTATTTATTTATTTATTGAGACAGAGTCTTGCTCTGTTGCCCTTGGTAGAGTGTAGTGGCATCATTGTAGCTCAATGCAACCTCAAACTCCTGGGCTCAAGTGATCCTCCTGCATCAGCCTCTCATGTAGCTGGAACTACAGGTGCACATCACTACACGTGGCTAATTTTTTCTATTTTTGGTAGAGACAGTGTCTCATTCTTGCTCAGGCTGGTCTCAAACACCTGACCTCAAGTGATACTCCCACCTTGGCCTCCCAGAGTGAGACACCATACCCAGCCAAGAACTATCTTAAATAGTATTTTTATTAGTATCTTACAAAGATTTGAGGAACCTGCAGCCTCAAGGCCACATGTGGCCCTCCAGATTCCCAAGTGTGGCCCCTTGACAGAATCCAAACTTCACAGAAAAAATCCCTTTATTAAAAGGATTTTTGTGTAAAATTTGGATTCAGTCAAAAGGTCACACACAACTATCCAGAAGGCCACAATTTCCCCACCTGGAACGGAATAGGCACAGCTGCTTGGGCTGTGTAGGAGTGAAAATAGGAGGGACAGGCTACTTTGGTAGACATCTTACTTTTTCAGATGATGATTTGAGACTACAATTGATCCAAGGTACTTCTCTAAGAACAGGTAACCCCAAATTGAGTTCTGTCAATAGTCAGTAATAACCACAGAGACATTATGATAATAAGTATCATCAATTACATCCATCATTCTAAAAAATGTACCTAAATCAAGAGAAAAACATCCCTATAGAATGAAAGATAGAGAAATAGTATGGAATGGGCAATTAGTGCCCCAATTTCCTTCTTTTCTGTCATCATCCAAAACACTTATCAAGTTGTTCTTATTTTTTCTCTTCTTTTTTTATTCCTAATTATAGGAATATTCAGTTCCATCAAATCTCATGCATAAGATTATCCTAGGAGGCCATTTCACCATGCCTAAATTACTCCAGGAAACTCTGAGCAGCCATCTGTAAGAGTGGTTAGAGCAAAAGACATGCTATGAGGGGACTAGTTAGTAAGATCTGATACCAATATATGGAAGAACTGATGAACCTGAACAAAGAGGGCAGTAGTGAGGCCTAGAGAAGCGAGACAGCTATTAAAGTATAATTGCCAGAACTTGTCACCCTCTGTCTATCTAATACCGTCTCACCAAATTCAAGAACTTCATTTTTCTTGTTCTGTTTCTAATTATACACATGACAGGCAGCGTGTTAAAAGTTAAATGAGGGGCCAAGATAGTGGACTAGAAGCAGCCTGTACTCACTACTCTCAGGGAGAGGATCACTACCTGCAAGTAGATATTCATAATCAGATAGATTGTCTAAGAGAGAGCATTGGGAATCAACAGAGAAGTAATGGGAGGCTCCCAAAGTAAGGGAGAAGAAAGAGGGGTGACCTACTCAGCAGGATCAGAGGTACACAGGGAAGGCACCCACATGTGGGGAAGGGACAGAGGAGAGACCACAGGGCTCCACACTTCCCCCAGGGACATTGCAATTGGAGTTGCAGGAGGGCTCCTCCACTGCAGCAGGCTGTTGGACTGACACAGGGGGCTGACTGGGGACTGTGCAATGGCATTGCTTCAGAGAGAAGGCACAGTTGGGTCCTGGTGGTTTATGAACCCTGAGTGCTGTGGCTGGTGCCATTTTGAGGTCCTAGCCCCAGAGAGCTGCATTTAACCAAGGGTCAGATCTGTTGCTGCTGCCATATTGGGGAGGAAGTGGGGATGCCAGGCACTCTTGTGCACCTTTTGGGTGGGTGCTACAGACTCCCACTGCTGTTGGGGGACCCAGGAAGAGTGGAAACCCATGGACCTGGAGCTCACTGCCACCATCTGGGTGGCCCCATCCAGCCACAGCTGTTGTGGGACCTGGACAGACAGAATGCCCACAGTCCCAGGCACCCACTGCTGTTTTCTGGGTGGCATAGCCATTGTCACCACAGCCTAGGTAATAGTGCCACTGATGGACCTGGGTGAAGCAAATGCTCATGCCCTGCATACCCACTGGTCATGAGAACCACAGGGGAACAGGGAGACAGAGGAGAGCAGCAGTGTTAATTAAAGACCCACAGTGCATCTACTCCTCTCCTGCATGGTCAATTTTCTGGAGTAGGACTCAAGCATGTCATCCAGGAACCTC